AAAAATTGATTTACTGTATATCCATAAAAAACTCGATTTACTGTATTCGACAAAAAACTCGACTTTTATGTATTTATGCAAAACAAACTCGATTTTATGTATTTCTGCAAAAAAAAAATTGATTTACTGTATTTTCGTAAAAAAACACGATTAATTGTATTTCCGCAAAAAACTTTATTTACTGTATTTCCATAGAAAAAATCGATTGAATGTATTTCTACAAAAGCTCGATTTATTGCATTTCTGTAAAAAAATAGGATTTACTATATTTTCGCAAAAAACTAGATTTACTATATTTTCGTAAATAATGATTTTCTGTATTTCCGTAAAAAAACACAAATGTATGTATTATCGAAGAAAACTCGAATTATCGTATTTCTGTAAAAAAAACTCTATTTACTGTATTTCCAATAAAAAACTTGATTTATTCTATTTCCATAAAAACTCGATTTACTGTATTTCTACAAAAAAAACACGATTTTATGTATTATCAAAAAAAAAGTTTGATTTACCGTATGTTAAAAACTCGATTTACTGTATTTTTATTTAAAAACTCGATTTATTAAATTTCCACAAAAAAATGAGATTTACAATATTTCCATAAAAATGTGATTTACTGTATTTCTGTAAAAACTTGATTTACTTTATTTCTGTAAAAAAAACTCAATGTATTGTATTTCTGCAAAAAAAAAAACATGATTTACCGTATTTCCATAGAAAATGTGATTTACTATATTTCCATTAAAAAACTTGATTTACTGTTTTTCCATAAAAAAACTTGATTTACTATACTTCCGCAAAAAACGCAATTTACTGTATTTCTGTAAGAAAATATTATTTTCTGTATTTTCGTAAAAAAAAACTAGTTATTGTATTTCCGTTAAAAGGGATTTTATGTATTTTCGCAAAAAAAAATCGATTAATGGTATTTCCGTTAAAAAAACTTGATTTACTGAATTTCCATAAAAAAACTAGATTTACTGTATTTTCTTTAAAAAAAACAACTTTCTGTATTTCCGTAAAAAACTCAAGTTATTGTATTTCCGTAAAAACCACAATTGTATGTATTATCGAAGATAACTCGATTTATCGTATTTATGTAAAAAAAACTCAATTTACTATATTTCCAAAAAAAAACTCAATTTACTATATTTCTATAAAAAAAAAAACTCGATTTACTGTATTTCCGCAAAAAACACGATTTTATGTATTTGCAAAAAAATTGATTTGCCATATTTTCGTAAAAACTCAATTTACTATATTTCCGTAAAAAAATCGATTTACTATATTTCTGGAAAAAGCAATTTATTGTATTTTCGTAAAAAAATGTAATTTCCTATATTTTTGTTAAAAACTCAAATTATTGTATTTTCGTAAAAAAAACTTGATGTACTGTATTTCTACAAAAAAACACGATTTACTTAATTTCCTTAAATAGACTCGATTTACTATATTTCCGTCAAAAATGTGATTTATTGTTTTTCCGTAAAAAAAACTCGATTTATTATATTTCCGAAAAAATGCAATTTACTCTATTTCCGTAAAAGAAATTGGATTTTCTTTATTTCTGTATAAAAAAAAAAAAAGGAGTTACTGTGTTTCTGTTAAAAATACGATTTTATGTATTATTGCAAAAAAAAAAATGATTTATGTTATTTTCATTAAAAAACTCAATTTACTGTATTTTGTAAAAAAAAACTCGATTTATTGTATTTCTATAAAAAAAAACTCAATTTATTATGTTTTTATAAAAAACGAGATTTAATGTATTTCCATAAAAACCTTGAATTACTGTATTTCTATAAAAAAAACTCGATTAACTATGTTTTCGCAAAAAAAAAAAACGTGATTTACTATATTTCCTTAAAAAACACGATTTACTGTATTTTCTGCAAAAAAAACTTAATTTACTGTATTTCTGTAAAAAAAAAAAACTTGATTTACTGTTTTTCCGAAAAAATATGATTTACTGTAAAAAAAATTGATTTTTTGTATTTCTGTATAAAAACTAGATTTAGCTTACCAATTCATATGTTCTATACTATGCAACAGTTGTAAAAGTACACATTTTTATTTCTACACTTACAAATAAATCCTGGGAAAATTAAAAGGAATTTAGCTAGTCTTAAAAGCTAACTGATTTAGCTTTCCCTAATTTACTTAATACAATGTTACAATGTAATTTCAGGTAGGAAAAAATGTTACTCCCACATTATCATTTTCTTTGCCTCTATATACTAACTTTGTTTTTACAACTAAGCTATAAACAACTGGTATTCCAAATATTCCACAACAAAAACTGCCAATAATTAAATGATACTATAATTTTTTTGCTTCATCTGTTTTGTATTTTTTTGTTCATTTAAAAAGTGAAGGGTCATGCTCTTCCTTTCCTTTTGTCATCCAATACCTGTGTCTCCCCGGAAACAAGGTCCAAAAAGGAATGTTTTGTTAGAGAAGAAACTGATGGTATATTATTACGCAGAATTTATTTATATGTGATGCAGCAAAAGATAGAATTACCTTACTCTGGAAGATTCGCATGGTTAACACAAGCGTGTCTCGCATTCTGCAAATTAACGAGTAATGTATATTGTTAATTGTGTAGTAAAATGGATAAACATTTGAACTTATATTTGTGAAACACAACCAGTGTAATTACCGGGCATTAAATGTGCTTAGAGGATGAGAAGATCCGTCCGAGCATGTTAACACAAATTGTTTTGAGAGACCACACGGAACTTTAATCTGCAGATAATCCATAAAACGAAGTGGAACGTTATGTAAATCTTTAAACAAGAAATAATAATTAGCTTAAGCTCAACTCAGAAAAATGTGGCATTATATGAATGGTAGAATACACAAAATGGAAATTCTATGTATATGTACATGTCAAACTATTGCACCAACAAAAACTTAAATTCATGGAACGTTTCACGAGTGTTTAACACAAAATTTATGAATTACATACCGATAAGTCCTTTGAGAATTTCTCAGCAACTACTGGAGCTTCAGTACCATTTATCTTAATTTGGTATCCTGATCGTCTTAAGAATAGAGTTGCTTGTTCCCAATTTTCAGAAGAATCCATCTGTAAAAAATAACCACAAAATGTGAGGAATGCAAATTAAGAAATGATACTGAACTGAAATAGACTATAAAAGCGAATAACAGAAAAGAGGTCAAGATTTTGTAGAATCTAATTTAAATGCTCTTTGTGTAAAAAAGTATCATGGTATCATCTAATGAAGTATGATCCCACAATATCATGTGTTCGATAATCCATATCATTGGATGGCATTTTAACAAAAATAAACTTATTGAATATGATCTCAGCATAAAAGGACTATCTAACTAAAAGCAAACCTACCAGAAGTAGAACACTGAAGATTGCTTCTCCTTTAGACAGGAATGTGTCAATCTCATGCTGCATTTCCGGGTCTAATTTTAGCACACAGAGGATCATGGTCAGAAAGCATTGGAGGAAAAATTAATAATAAAAGAAACAAAACCACCATAATAGATTCAGCAGCAAGTAACTTACCGCATGTTATTTTGTTTTGGTCATTAGCAAAAAGTCTCACTATCTCTCCCTGACAGAGAACAAAATTGACCCAAAAAAAGTTATGAACGATATTCTTATGATGTCTGGATAGAAATTGACAGATAACAAAAAAGAGAAGCCAAAATGAGGATGCCTAGTGTTGAGATAACTCTTGATTGAGAATGAACTATTAACTAAATACAAATTGTTTTCTTGATTAATACTTAGCTCAAAAGATCTTCAAACATCAATTCCATAGTTCATTTTTTGCAATCGTATAAAAACATCTTTATCCCACTAACTAAAACATTGAGTACTTTTTTGTTGCCATATATAATTTGAGCAATTAGTGATTAGCATATTGATTACTGGATTTTGTTGCCAGATTCATGCTGAATCAACTGTACGTACTGATACAACTGCTGGTTCATTAGGATTCTGAAATAAAAATAGTTTTTCGATGAATATTGTATAACTGATTTTCATTCTGCTAATCTGTAGAACAGAATGCACTAAATATTTCCTCACTTTTAACTTCACTATTTTTCTGTTCTTATACATCACTGTGTTGTTCTATTATGGTGTCAGAGCTCAATAACTATTATACAAGTGGTTAAACTAATATATATCCATATTGAAATATCCAAGTGCTGACATTTCCGGTTTGATCAAACATATCCTAAATTAAAATTATAAATCTCTTTGGGCCATAGTTCACATACTATATCCAGTAAATATGACTGACAACAATGATATGTATAACTAATTTATTTCAAACCTGACGGCCTTTATCATCCATTGGAATACACTCAACCGCTATCAATTTATCAACATCATCAGCTGTAACTACATACTCTGGATTTGTGGCTCCTGAACCAAGAAAACATTCGTTAAAAACAAATATTGTATTGAACTTCTATTATGCCATTCCACTCAACTACTTTAGATTTAAAACAAAACAAAAATAGAGAAGTAAAATGTTCAACCACCTTCAATGTACTGCCTAGTGCCATCCTGAAGATGCCGAACCCACTGACAAGAACCGGAGAATTATGATGATATCGGTAATAGAAGAGATGGAAACTAATATGAATGAAAAGTTAAGTACCAATGGAGAGAATTTTACCTGAAACATACAAAGAGAAGTTCGACGGACTGGATATCCACATCCAAGAAGTTTTTCTCCAGGAATAGCATCACCACAAATTTGAAAATTCTCAATGCCAGGGCCATCTAGAAAGATGTGACTTGTTAGTATAAAATGATAGACTATCTGTTATAGAGAAAAACATAAATTACCCTCAGAGACAGAGGAAGCAGTCTCGTCATGCTCATGTGAAGGTTGATACATGTTGCTATTGCCATTTACAAATGTTCTGTCACTAGTTCTCTCTTGTCTACCAATTTGATCAATAGAACCATGTCGGAAAGAAGATAGGTCCCTGTGGAAGTTATTCCACGGATAAGTACATGTATAAGAAAAATGACCAATCACTTCCCCTTATGTGTGAGAGAATGAGTGTCATGTGCAAGATCAAAAGTGCGGCTTCAATAAAGGGTAGAACATAGAATATAGGAAAATATTTCCGATCACATTAGGCTATGCCGCCAATAGAATTCTTTACTTTATTTTCATTTCTCCTTTCTTTTAATTGGAAAAGAATAAACTTCCCCATAGGACTGTGCATTTTCATCCTATGCATTCTTCCTAAGGTAATGATGATGGATAACAAATAATATTCGCGTTGCGAGCATAGAAGGAGTTGAACAATACCAACCTATCAGCATGAGAAATATCCTGATAGTTGACCCTTTTGAATGCTCCTTTTACATCTGGGTTTACATATCCTGTCATATTGCTCATTGGTTGATTTTGTTCATTGTCAATTTGATTTTGCTGGGGAAAGTTATGCTGAAACTGAAAGATAAAGTCAAATTGTAGTTAATGATAATGAGAGAAAATCTAAGATGATAAAGACAAATTGCATTAGACATAGCATACAAGAAGATACATGCCAATAGTAGCATACCATGAATTCATTATGAGTATGATTCGTCAAATGTGCAGAACCCGGACTTTCAACAATATGATTACCATTATCTGCATGGTTATCTAGCCCAGAAGTTATCTCTCCAATTCTATCCTGTCCAAAAGAGTAATCACTGATTTTTAGCAATAATCAATCAACCATTATCAAATAGATCAACAAGAAACCACCGAGATAAAGTAAGACAGACAGAAATTCATGAAGCAGTAAACATATAACAAAAAACTTGAGCCAAGTTCTATGTATAGCACCAGTTTGTTTACTATGAACATGTGGTTTTATATTACTTTCACTCATTTTTAACACCAAAAATTCCGCATAGAAAGATTTAGCAGATATAATAACACAAATTATGCATCAGTCTTAGAAGCGTTGGAAACTTACATGCGAATTCCGAATCCTCCATTGTAATCGATCATGTAAATGCTGGACAAAGACCATATAAAATGTTAGAATATCTACAAATAGTTTAGAGGAAGTGAATGATGTATCCAAGATTAGGATAAAATTTATTATAATAGGGATAATTGTGCTGCCTTATTTTTACAGATCCTGTTTTGTTAGAATTTAACTTATCTTAAAGAAGTAATTTGTACCCTTATTTAGTTAGGATTACATGTCAGCTTTAGTATCACATGACAATCCACGGTATCAGTTAACATAATACTCTCTCCAGTCTTTTTTATAAGAGACACTTCACCTTTCAAGATTCATTAAATAATTAATGTATTTGGTCTTTATGACATACATTAATTATTCAATGAATCTAGAAAGATGAAGTGTCTCTTATAAAAAGGACCAGAGGGAGTATTATTTTTTGAGTATATATTATCCTTTTCTACTTTACCTAAAGCTATATATAATTTCAACATGATATTAGAGCGGTATCATCCTCTATGACCTCCGTCATAACTACACTACTGTCAAGTTTTGTGAAGTATGGAACTCTTACCTTAATTCCAGTGGCTACACTTTGCCTTCCCGCTAATCGAGACAAATTCTGATGATTGAAATCCCCATATTTCTTCCATCAACAAGACTATTATATTATGATTATATCCTTCAGTATACTCTTTTTTGCTGTCATCCTCCCTTGTTGTGATCTACTTTAGGTTCCAGTATTGGTTTGACAAATGCTATTGGAATTGTTTGTAATCCCAAGCCTTCCGGCATCTTTTCCTTTGCCATTCATGCCCACTCTCTGTTTCCCTCTGCAGGCTTGGGTTCCGATGCCCACTATCTTTCCCCTTTCTCGTAAACATGTTTATGGGCCTATCAGCTGATATTTTTTAATTTTGAAACGAATCAAATTATAATTGAAAAACCAGCTTCTACATCTTTTACCATTGTTCTTAAACCTCCGATTTGCAATCCTTTTGTTTAAACCCCCGACTCTTACACACATTGTAGAAAAGGGAGATTGCTACCATTGGTCCCAAAAAGAAACGATTCATGAGGAAAGCTGTGCCAGGTTAAGGGTTCTGTTGAATAATGAGAGAACAAGAGGAAGGTTGGATTGAATCCGTGTGTTTGAATTACACATCGGAGCTCATTATATATAATAGGAGGCATAAATGTCATAGTAATTACATAATATTCTATAATAATTACATAATATTCTATTTCCTATTTACATGATATCCTAATTACTTACAGAATATTCTATTTACATAATATGGAATATTCCGATATCTAACACTCCCCCTCAAGCTGGAGCATATATATCATATGCACCAAACTTGTTACAAATATAATTAATTCGAGGACCTCTCAAAGGCTTAGTGAAAACGTCAGCTAACTGATCATTTGAATTGACAAAACTAGTGCTGACATCTCTAGATAAAATCTTCTCTCTGATGAAATGACAATCAATCTCAATGTGTTTGGTTCTCTCATGGAACACTGGATTTGATGCAATATGCAGAGCTGCCTGATTGTCACAAATAAGTGTCATTTGTGAAACATCCCCGAATCTCAGGTCGTGAAGCAATTGTTTAAGCCATATAAGCTCACAGGTTGTTGTTGCCATGGCTCGATATTCTGCTTCCGCACTTGACCTTGCCACTACACTTTGTTTCTTACTCTTCCAGGAAATTAAGTTACCACCCAAGAAAACACAATAACCTGAGGTGGATCTCCTATCAAAAGGAGAACCTGCCCAATCTGCATCTGAGTATCCTACAACTCGAGTGTGTCCCTTGCCTTTTCCTGGAGCTCCTTTAATATATTTCAAGATGCGAATCACAGCTTCCCAATGCCCTTCACAAGGAGAGTTAAGAAATTGACTTACCACACTAACAGGAAATGAAATATCTGGGCGAGTAACAGTGAGGTAATTCAGTTTTCCAACTAATCTTCTATATTTTCCAGGATCGGAGAGTGGCTCCCCCTGAGCTGGCATAAGTTTAGCATTGGGATCCATCGGAGTGTCAACTGGCTTGGAATTTAACAGTTATGTCTCCTCCAAAATATCCATAGCATACTTCCTTTGTGAAATCACAATCCCCCATTTGGATTGGGCAATCTCTATGCCCAAGAAATAACGAAGTCTGCCGAGGTCTTTTGTCTGGAAATGATGACAAAGGTGTTGTTTTACCTGTGTGATTCCATGATGATCATTACCTGTAATGACAATGTCGTCCACATACACAATTAAGTAAATACACCCAACAACTGAGTGACGATAAAACACTGAATGATCAGCTTCACATCGCGTCATACCAAACTCTTGAATAACAGTGCTAAATCTCTCAAACCAAGCCCTAGGAGATTGCTTAAGTCCATACAAAGACTTATGAAGACGACAAACTAGTCCAGAAGACTCCCCCTGAGCAACAAACCCAGGAGGTTGCTCCATATAAACTTCCTCACACAAATCACCATGGAGGAATGCGTTCTTGATGTCAAGCTGGTAAAGGGGCCAGTGGCGAATAGCTGCCATAGAGAGAAATAATCGAACCGAGGCCATTTTAGCCACGGGATAGAAGGTGTCACCATAATCTAGGCCAAACAGTTGTGTATAACCTTTGGGCACTAAACGTGCCTTGAGACGATCAACTTGTCCATCAGGCCCAACTTTAACTGTGAAAACCCACCTGCAACCTACAACAGATTTTCCAAGAGGAAGAGGAACAAGGTCCCACGTGCCACTGTTCTGAAGAGCACACATCACATCAAGCATAGCTTGTTTCCAGCCAGGGTGAGATAAAGCATCACCTACAGTCTTGGGAATAGACACAGAAGACAAAGAGGAAATACAAGCATAATGCAAAGAAGACAAGCGATGATAAGACAAATTAACATAATGAGGAGATGGATTACGAGTGGAACGTATACCTTTGCGAAGTGCAATTGGGAGATCAGTCTCAGGGGGCAGGACCGGAGGGGACGAAGGAGTTGGATCCGGAGGGGAGTCTATGGTGATTTCTGCATTAGTTGATGGTAGTGGAGGTGGTCGTGGTCGACGCCGATAAACCTGCAAATGAGCTAATGGGGGTGGATTGGCTGGTAAAGGAGACAGAACTATGTTTGGTGGGGCAGTAGTGGGAGATGAAGAAAACATGGGTGATAGGGACTCAGACCCTGTAGACGTCCCAAAGTAAGGGGATGACTCAAAGAATGTGACATCAGCAGAGACGAAATATCGACGAAGAGACGAGGAGTAACACTTATATCCCTTGAGATCTTGTATAGCCTAAGAACACACACTTATGAGAACGAGCTGAGAGTTTGTCTAGCCCAGGACTAACATTATGGACAAAACATGTAGACCCAAAGACTCTAGACTGTAATGGGTGAAGAGACTGGTGAGGAAATAGAATAGAGTGAGGGATCTGATTGTTGAGGACAGATGATGGCATCCTATTTATGAGATAACAAGCCGTAAGGACAGCATCACCCCAAAAATGTTGAGGAACATTATTGTGAAGTAAGAGTGTCCTAGTGGTTTCAACTAGGTGTCTATTTTTACGTTCAGCGACTCCGTTTTGTTGTGGTGTGTGAGCACAAGACGTTTGATGAAGCATACCGTTAGTAGCCATGAAAGTTTGAAATTGAGTAGATAAACATTCTCGAGCATTGTCACTGTGCAAAGTACTAATGGATATACCAAACTGATTTTTGATTTCATTATAAAATGTTTGAAAAATAGCAAATAACTCCGATCGATTTTCCATTAAAAATAACCATGTACATCGAGAATAATCATCAATGAAGGTAACAAAATACTTAGACCCTAAAGTGGAAACAATGCAACTAGGACCCCAAACATCCGAATGAACTAGAGCAAACGGAGACTTAGAACGACGATTGACACGACTCGGAAAAGAACTACGAACATGTTTTCCTAATTGACAAGACTCACAAGATAACGTAGATAACTTGGAAAGGTTGGGCACCAACTTTTGTAACTTCGCAAGACTTGGATGTCCTAACTGAGCATGAACCAGGAGGGGAGAATCCACCACGGAACCAACATGTGCAGATGGTTGAAGAAGATAAAGACCATTAGACTCACATCCGGTGCCAATCATCCGTCTCGAACTCCAGTCCTGCAAGAAAAAAGAATCTTTGGTGAATGAGATAGTACAATCAAGAGATCGAGTCAAACGACTTAGAGACAATAAGTTAAACGGAGATCCGGGTACATAAAGAACATTAGTAATGGAGAGCGAGGGAAAAAGGTGGATAGTACCAGTAGCCTGAGATTGAGTTTGGGAGCCATTTGCTAATGTGACAAAGGGTAATAAACCAGAAGTAGAGAATGAAGAAAAAAGAGATTTATTACCAGTAATGTGATCAGTGGCGCCTGAATCAAGGATCCATGGGCCAAGAGATGTGGAGTGAGAAAGACCAGCAAAAGAATTACTCGTGTGCGCAACAGATGCAGTGGAACTAGCGGCCTGACGCTCCTCATACCACTTGATAAAGTCGTTAAAGATAGCAGGTGAGGTGGCAGAATCAGTCGGAGTAGCAGCCTATGGAGGTGGAGCGGTCTGGGCAACGTGGGCAGTCCGAGGAGAGGGACGTCCATGTAAAGCATAACACCGATCCATAGTGTGGTCAAGCTTATGACAATGATCACACTTAGGACGAGACTTTCCAGTCTTCTGAAAATGGCCACGATAACCACCCGGAGCACGATTACCTCCTTGAGAAACCAAAGCAGATGAATCAACTGGTGTGGGTGGGACTCCGCCATCAGATGATGGTTTTGCTGGGACACGCAGCAAAGTAGACCATGCAGTATCCAGAGTGGGGATTGTAGGAGACCCCAATATCTGATCGCGAACAGACGAATACTCTGGAGGTAGGCCATACAGAGCTAGAAGCATGAAGAAGGATCGACGTTGTTCAAGTTCCTTAGCAGTGGTAGCAGCTGGGGGCAATAATTCATTGAAATCATGAAGAAGACCTTAAACACGACC